ATAAACTATCCAGCAACCTTTTAGAGAAAGCGCAAAGTGAATTACCTGGTTCCATAATGAAATATGTCAAATTTATGAGTCTGGAGTGAAGAACTGTTGCTTTTTTTTTTTTTTAATTTTGTCATTGCATTTGGTGCCAAAAGTTTCCAGTTGTGGCTTACAGCTGGAAATACACATCACCAGTTGGTTGCCACGTTGTCCATAAATGGATTTTCTGTCAAAGTGTCAGACAGTTTGGCAGCGATTGCTCAATGAAAGCTTCTCTTTAAAACATCAGCCTGAAAGCCTTCCACTCAACATGTCCAAACTACAGTTCAGAGCAAAGATGTTCTTGAAGCATAGAGCATGTATTTCAAATTCTGAATATACACTTTTTACTTGACTCTTTAATTTGTTGGATCACTAGAACTGCAACGTAGCACAAAATTACCAATGCAGAATCTATGTCTTGAAATATGCATTAAGAAGATAGAAACATTGGATGAAGGAGAGAAACTGAAGAGTGTTCTGATTCATTCATAATTTAAAGCCAGTTGACTTTGCACAAAAAGTGACAAGCTCAGGTCAAAATAAAGCATATAAGTGCAACTGTCCTCATTACGTTTTTTAGTTTTTAACTGAAAATGCACTGAAATAACTGCACCAAAAATTCCTGATTAAAGGGTCTGTAGTTGGAAAATTTAGCCATTAATGCATAACCTGCAAATGAGCTTCAGATACAATAGTCTGTAGCTTCTCTGGCACATTCACAGATGTTATGAATGTGCTCAAGGATAAATTAATTAAAAAACAAAGCAGATGTGTATTCAGAGTCTTAATGTTTGTGTATAGGCTATTTAAAATCAGGAGAACCTGAGGACTGCTTTCACCCACTTCATGCTAAAGCTGCAGAAATACTGCAAATAATACAATTAAACATAATACAGCATAACTTTAGTTTCTCTAGGATGCTCCATCAGGATAATAAAGGTGCTTGAAGTGAAATCATCTGGGGAAGGACGGATTCTTTATTTGCACTGTGCCACCCTTTTGAACCTGTTATGCACTCAGATTAGATGTCAGGGACAACAAGCTCTTTCTGTGTGTATGTTATAATGCAGAACGGCTCATGGATGAAATTAATTCATGGATTGCTCTGAACTCCACTGAACCTTTACGATTACATTTATTAAACTAACAACACATGTACGGCTAAATTCAGACATTTTTACAAAACTCTTTAAATCACTTAAACGCTCATATCTAAATTACCTCTTAACCGCTTCAGTGTTTGTTTGTTTTTTTTCTGTCTTCTGAGCAGAACCTTGAAGTATCTTTTGTTTCCTCAAAAGGCTTGCAGTGCATTTCCCAGAGAAAGACTACACCTGATTATTGTGTGTGTGTTTGATTATTTATAACCCCTGCCTTCATTAGGAAATCTAATCTGCAGGGCACCAGCAGGTCTGTGAAAGTGATTTTGCTGAAAAGCATCTAAGTAGGTCAAGTAAGCACGCTGTACGCAATTTAATATTTCCTAATTTACCAGAGAGCTGCAGCGTGAGGCTCAGGATTTACATGCATACAAGTTAGTTTCTCAAACGTGCTGTGAAATTGCTTGTTCGTCATAATAATCAAGAGAAAAATAAGTAAATCAAAAGAAGAAAAAAAAAATCAGGTTTTGTGAGTTTTGAAGGTGCTCCATTAGCTTCTCAGAGAGTCCGTTTCTGTGTTATTGTGAGTCGTCAGAATTCAGTTACTGTCGAATCTAATTAGTCAATTATATTCATATTTGCAACAGGTTGACACGCCTCATAGAGGGGTGACATTTTAATTATCCTGCAGTGGAGAATTGCGGAACAACAGCTGAAGAACTATTACATTACGGCCAATCCAGAGACGTGTAGTTCTGTTATGTCTAATGATCACAGTGAAAGTACAACTATGAATCTAGCTGAGTGAAGGGTTTCCTTTTTGGGAAGAACAGAATACTGTGTCTGCAGAAAACACAAAAGGCAAACACATGAAATGGTATAAAAAAAAATGCACACACACCGTCTATTTTTCTCCTTTTTTTTTATTGCTACCATGTTGAGAATGGGGGATGTCGGCTGTAAACACTGTGAACAAATTGCATTTCAGATTGATTCATTCTCGCCATAAAGGCCCTGCACACCCACACAGGAGTTTTCAATGATTGCAGCTGATTGGACCTCTGCTCAGGTTAAGCGTGGGTGGCAGTATGCTGTGAGTTATGTGAGATCACCTGACTGCAGCCGCTAATAAGAATAATAAAGTCGTCCCAGTCTGTGGTGCAGTAAAGTTCACACGGGAGTCCATTAGAATCAATGAAGCGGACTGCGCAGGCCGACGCAAGACGTCTAATTTAAAGCTAAATTAATTAAAATCATGTGCGGAGGCCAACATGAGTGTGCAGGGTCTTTACAACGTTGTGCATTAGCAGCATAGGAGTGAGAGCTTGAGGTTCAGTTTCTATGTAGAATGTATGTAATGCTTTAGACAGTTAAAAAATTCACCAATCAGCCACAACATTAAAAGCAGTTACAGGTGAAGTGAATAACACTGGTTGTCTCCTTACAGTGGCAAGAGGTGTGACGTTTACGGCAGCAAGTGGACTGTCAGTTCTTAAAGTTGATGGGTTGGAAGCAGGGAAATGGGCAAAAGTTAGTATTTACAAAAACTGGTTCTCGTAGGCTGCAGGGCCCAGTTGGTAGCACTGTTGCCTCGCAGCAAGAAGGTTGCCGGTTCACGTCCCGGTGGGGGCATCGGAATCTTTCTGTGTGGAGTTTACATGTTCTCCCCGTGCAGCGTGGGTTCTCTCCGGGTTCTCCGGCTTCCTCCCACACAGTCCAAAAACATGTTGAGGTTAATTGGTGATTCTAAATTGTCCGTAGGTGTGAATGTGAGTGTGCTTGGTTGTCTGTCTCTAAGTGTAGCCCTGTGATAGACTGGTGACCTGTCCAGGGTGTCCCCTGCCTTCGCCCTAAGTCGGCTGGGATAGACTCCAGCCCCCCACGACCCTAGTGAGGATTAAGCGGTGTATAGAAAATGGATGGATGGATGGATGGATGGTTCTCGTGGACTTCAGGAGGAACAGAACTGACCCGCCCCCTCTCTACATCAATGGCAAGCGTGTGGAGAGAGTCCACAATTTCAGGTTCCTGGGAATCCAGATCTCCGATGACCTCTCTTGGTCAGACAACACCTCAGCTTCCATAAAGAAAGCCCAGCAGCATCTACACTTCCTGAGAGTCCTGCTGACGTATTGTGTTTCCACCTGGTATGGGAGCTGCACCAGGGCAGACAGAGCGAGGCTTCAGAGGACAGTCAATGCAGCACAGAGGATTGTTGGCTGCCCTCTCCCCTCCCTGACAGACATTTACACCACCCGGTACCTCAACAGAGCTCGCAACATCACCAAGGACGGTTCACACCCCGGTTCTCAGCCGTTTGAGCTGTTGCCCTCTGGTAGGCGCTACAGATGCTCCAAAGCAAAGACCAACAGACTGAGAAACAGTTTCTTTCAGAGTGCCATCACCATCATGAACTGTCACATGTAAAACATCCACTCTACCTCAATAAGACTTCTCCACTATGTGCACTGTTTAAGTGTCCATCATCTATATGTAAATATTCATAATCTGTATCATCATGTGCAATGTTTCTTAAATCTTTTATTTCTTTTTATATATTTATCCTTTTTTATCTTTATATTTAAATGAGCAATTTTGCACTTTATTTTGTTTTTTTTACTGTTGCACTGAAGATAGAAGGAGCTCTCCACCTCGTTGCACACTGTATAATGACAATAAAGGGCATTAATAATATTGTGTAGGGTGTGATGTCTTCTTTTTTTCCAATCTCATAGAGTGTGTATGTCTGTGATTAGAGAGAAGAAAATCTGTGAAATTTCTCCTGATGTTTGTGACCAGATTTCAAAATCTGTTCGGACTTTAAAGCTCTTGTTATCTGAGTGTTTTTATAAAGACTGTATCTGAATTTAGGTAAGTAGTGAATAAAGTAAGTGATTCATAGTGCAACTGACAATTTCCTCCTAAGTAAAACAAACAAACAAACAAAAAACGTACAGTGTGTAACACTGCATAACTGTATGTATTTAAAATGCCTTTTTTGTGTCTGACTTTTGCCACAGATTTAAAACTCTAAAGTTAAAGCTACACCTTTACGTAAATTTATTTCAGACATACCAAGTGAGGGTCAACAACAAAACTACCAAAGCTGGCTTGTCTAAAGTCACAAACAAATTTTAAATTTCTGTACATCATCATTTCTGTCGCTAATAAACTGAATCAGTTGTCAATCGATGTGGGAGTTGTAGATACAACCAGATATCCAGTGTCGTGTCTGAGGACTCGTAACCTTTTCTAAGCTGACTTCGCCATCTGTGTCTCTTCCTTCTGCAGCTGTTACTTGCTGCTGCTTCCTCATATTCACGAGAAACACCGAACATTGCATCTGCCTCCATTATTACGATTCCATAAAGCAGGACAACCACAGAGAGCTGATCCAGTCAGTAGTGAAAGCCGGCCGATGTTTAGAACAGCTGTTGCGTTTTGTGTGTATTATTAGAATCATCTTGCATCGAGAGCTGGGATTGTAATATCTAATTAAAATCAATTTGACCAATGCTCTGTGGTTACATGAACGCTTGCTTTTCTTCCTACATCTGGCCAATAAAATGCAGCTGCTGGAGAAAAGGGAAACTTTTAATTCAACATCCAAGCCAATTCACAAAACTTACACAAAGGCATACGTAACACTTCTCTTTTTCACAGGCCAGAGATACAACCTAATACTGCAGTAGCTATATTTAAATCCTTTACTTGTAAGAGAAAATAACATGAACAATGACTAAATAAGTTACTTTTGTCAGTGTCAAAGACTCTCAGAGGTCTTTAAAGTGCAAGACCTCAAAATGCAGTACTGAAATTATTTGGGGGATGGACATGTTGAGAAATCCAGTCAGCTGATTCAGGTTGTTTAAGACATCTCAAAGGAACAGCTCAGCTCTGTTGACATTCAGCTTTGGACACGTTGAAGTCAACAGCAGTGGAGAGTCTGTGCTGCAGGTACGGTATTATTTAATGGCATTTAATTTAAGATTTCCTAATATATAGATTCAAATACATTTACATGTATTTTGCTTTCTTTAAAAAACAGGTTTCTGCAATTTTAAATGTTTTCTCCTTTATTTACAGAACGTTTCAAAGGCAAGATGGACATGCCAGATGATTACTACGTGGACTTTGCCAACTACAGCTCTTATGACGGCGAGGAAAATTATACTACATCGACGGAAGCAGTTTTTCGCCACAAATCAACATGTTTAAGTGAAGTCTTGTGTGTGCTTTTACTTGTAATCACTGTGGTCATTTTTCTGCTGGGCTTTTTTGGGAACGCTTTGGTCATCTGGATCTCTGGCTTCAAGATGAAGAAGACGGTCAACACCACCTGGTACCTGAGCCTGGCGATCTCTGACTTTGTCTTCTGCGCCTTCCTCCCACTAAGCATCACCAACACGGCGATGGAAGAGTGGATCTTTGGCCGCTTCATGTGCAAGTTTGCCCCTTCTGTGATGTTCCTCAACATGTTCAGCAGCATCTTCCTCCTCGTCATCATCAGCGTGGACCGCTGTGTTTCCGTCGTGTTTCCCGTCTGGGCCCAGAACCAGCGCACAGTTCAAAAGGCCTCAGTTGTGGTCGCCCTGGCCTGGCTTTTCGCCATTGGACTGAGCATTCCCTCTGCGATCTTTCGGGATGTTGGCAGCCACCTTGGTAGGACCATTTGCTTCAACAACTACACAATAATTCAACACAGTCACAAGATAGTCGCACTGAGCCGCTTCTTTGCAGGCTTCGTCGTCCCCTTCGTCATCATTTCCATCTGCTACTCCATCATCTTCCTCAAACTTCAAACCAACAGGATGACAAAATCCTCTAAACCCTTCAAAGTGATGAGTGCGCTCATTGCTGCTTTCTTCATCTGCTGGCTGCCCTACCACGTCTTCGTCCTCCTCGAGCTGAACCACCAAAACTACGACCACAGCGTGTTGACCGCAGGACTCAAAGTAGGCACTTCTATGGCAGCGGCAAACAGTTTCCTCAACCCTGTGCTGTATGTCTTCATGGGCAACGACTTCAAGCAGAAGTTCAAGAGCTCAGTGCTGTCAAAGATGGAGAACGCAATGGCGGATGAAGGCCGCACCACCAGCCGGTACCTGTCCAGGTCCAGCTCCATGGACGGCAGAGCTTCTACACACATATAGAGGTGCAGACGCTACTCGAAAACTGTTTCACAAAGTGCGCTCACTGGAAAAACCAAAATACACCAAGTATGCAATAAATAATACAAGATATGAGATATGTGTTTTTGCTTGTAAAAAAAAAAATCCATAAATGAAATTTGTATAGATTTTGCTGTAAAATGATCCACAAGCTTTAGTCTCAAAAACACATAATGTGGCTGAAAAACACGAGCCAGTATGTAAATGTGTCTCACACCAGAGAGTGGGTGACATCCGTCTCAGTTGTAAAATAAAAGGTTTGTAAAATACAAGACATATTTTTCTGATAATAAATGCACAAAATGTATTGTTGCTATATTAAGTGTTGTATAAAAATATATTCCTTGGACACTTTCACAAAAGCAATTTCTGTGTATTTGCGATCATGCGTGGTGGCAGCATCACATTTCACAAACAATTTGTTGCTTGCTTGAAGACAAATGTGCAAATGTGAGTCTTGCAGGGCTTGTGCATTCTCATGCATAGATTACGAGTCTGGTGTTTGTTTCGTCTGTGAAACACATGTAGGAAGAGAGGAAATATTCTAATGTTGAAATTTAGTAGAACAAGCTGGAGGCTTTTTTTGCAAGGAGATTGTAAATGTGAATATTTGCTTATTTGGGTAGAAATGATTGCTGTAAAATGTTCATTTGCTTTCTTGACTTCTTAAGTAAACTGATAAACACAACAATACACAAATGGAAATAAACCAAGGATAACATGCTCAATGAGAAGCCTCACTATTTCGTTGTTGTTCATCTAATACCTCAAAAAGCCCCATGCCCGAAAAGGGATGTTCTGTGGTTTTGTTTGTGTTGCAACTTCTATGTAAATCCGACTCCGTGGAAGTTTACTGTGGGCGTTTTTACGCCTCCGTCACCCCTCTGCTTACTCTGGTCAGTTTTGGTCTGTTGTTTATCTCACTAGCAACTATATAACCAGTTGTTATTAACAAACACTGTTGACGAATAGACGTGCAATTTTGTAATTTCATGTATGAAGGTTGTAAATGTGGTCTGTGCAATAAATGTTTGAATGATATTTGCGCCTTTTTTTATTTTATTTTTTTCAAATGAAACTGGAATAATTACCATTAGCTCTTTGATGTATTCTTAATCTCTCAATATTGAGCCATTATTTGCATTTGGAAGTTAGGCGTCAGACAGGTGTGGCCCGTCTGCCTTGTTGAAGTTCTCCCTGGAGAACGAGATGGTCGCCTCTCTGTGACTGTGTGTCACAGAGGGGAAAACTCTGAGTGTCATTTGTGCTTATGCACCGAATGGCAGTTCAGAGTATCTGGCCTTCTTGGAGTCTCTGTGTGGTGTCCTGGAAGGGGTGCTGCTTGGGGACTCCATAGCTCTCCTGGAGGACTTCTATGCTCACATGGGCAATGACGGTGAAACCTGGAGGGGCGTGAATGGGAGGAATGGCCTGCCCGATCTGTACCCAAGTGGTTACTGGACTTCTGTGCTAGCCACTGATTGGCCATGACGAACACCATGTTCGAACATAAGATTGCTCATAAGTGGAGCTGGTACCAGAGTACCTTAGGGCAAAGGTTGATGATCAACTTTGTAGTTATATCATCAGATCTGCGGCCATATGTGTTGGACACTCGGGTGAAGAGAGGAGCAGAGCTGCCAACTGATCACTACCTGGTGGTGAGTTGGATCCGATGGTGGAGAAGACTGCCGGACAGACCTGGTAAACCCAAACGCGTAGTGAGGGTGAACTGGGAACGTCTGGTGGAGGCCCCTGTCTCTGGGGTTTTCAATTCCCACCTCTGGTAGTTTCTCCTGTATCCTGGAGAGGTTGGGGACATGGAGTCAGAGTGGGCCATGTTCAAAGCCTCCATTGCCTAAGCGGCCGTTAGGAGCTGTGACCAGAAGGTCTCTGGTGCCTGTTGTGGCGGGAACCCCAAAAGCTGCCAAGCTGAAGTAGGAGACTTTCGGGCCTGGTTGGCTCGGGGGTCTCGTAAAGCAGCAGACAGGTACCGGTTGGCAGACAGGTACTGGTCCTGCTGCCTCTGCGACCTGACTCTGGATAAGCGAAAGAAAATGGATGGATGGGTGGATTTAGTTTTTAACCTGGTAAGTCAGGAAGAAGAAATTCTTGTTTGGAATGGTAAGGGTTAAAAAAATAAATCCAAAGTTAAAGAACAGCAACACACATCTACTACTTATATATAGTCACCACAAGCATAAGATGCGACCAGGTTTCACTGCTTTGAAGATAGGTTTTGACACCATTACCTGTTAGAAATGTAGTGAGTAACCGAATCGAAGTATCACAATAGTAAAATTACTTGTAACTTGATTACTTTCCATTTCCTTTGGATTACCACAGTACCAAATACTCAAATAGAGACAAGAGAAAAGAAATATCTGCATGTGCTTACATGTGCTTGTGTGTGGTAGTATATCATTCTTTAGCTTGCTTTAAAGTATATTTTAAAATTGTAATCCTCCCCATGTTTTCTAAATGCTTTGGCATTCTGATTACGTCTTTTTGTTCTGCATACTGCCGTTCACTCACATGTGACAAACAAGCAACACATGAATGACATGCAGTCTGACATACAGACATCGGACAGGTAGAAAACAGCCGACGGCATCAAGCAATACAACAGCAAAAACAAGAGTAGCATGCATAAGCACTGAAACAAAGTAAAACAAAAGCAGCCAGAAAACAAGAACATGCATTGGACAACAGCTGCACGTACCACAGAGAATGTCCATGACAGAGTCTGCTTTTATCTAGCTGACTTGAGAATAAATTTGTACAGTTGTAGTGTTTTTTTTTTGCAAAGTTTGGCTGCAGCAGCTTGGAATGATGACAAACCAAATACAGTATTTGTTTTTGGAACTTTCAGCAGAATAAGACGAGCAGCACAGGTGCTGTTAGAAGCGCATCTTGTTTGCAGCAGGTGACACGGATGAGAGGTGCACGACTAAGGAGGATTTAATAAATGAGCAGGGTGACCTCTCCGCTCAACATTTTCTTAGTTATGTTTGTGCAGACACTTCTGAATATATGAGCCCACCAAAAAAAAGTGAAACTGTGAAACGTCTTCAAGGTCAAAACTGTTCTTCCTCTAAGGGGGTGTAAACTGCACATAAATATATAATGAACGCGTATCTGCTGTGAAGAGTTAACCTTGGAACAGAATCAGTGTAAAGTAACGCACTTCCTACTCAGCAACAACATAAGAGGAATCATAATGAGAAGGAGGGTGACTAGTGATTTTTGTGATGTTGAAACAGCGCTGAGTGGGGGAAAGTCTGTGACTGCAGAGGTTATGCAAAAACACTGGCAGTGAGTCACAATGAAACTTTGGACAACTTTGTAGTATATGTGAAAGAGATCACTCAAAGTGAACGAGAGGCAAGTTTCATGGAAGTTTCTTTTCCCCTTTTATTGCTTTTGGAATTTAAATTGGGTTTTTCGACAAGAACTTATATTTTTTTTAAAAAGACTCGGATTTCTACCAAGTAATGTCAGTTAATGAAAAATACAAAATGTAAAATAAGTGATTGCTAAAGTATTCACCGCTTTTGAAGTGACTCACCTGATC